ACATCTGCCATCAGAGGGATACAACTAACACTATCAGACATCCGCTATCAGAGGGATAACAAATAACACTACCAGACATCTATTTCTTGGTGGTCTTTATTTTTCCTGGACATTCCTAACCCTACCCTGGTGTGTTGTCAAGCTGTACAAGTATACAAAAAACAACATATTTCAAGTTTGAGTAGTGGAGTGGGACCTGTTTTTAACAGGGGGAATTATTTCACTACCACACCCGTCTTTGTTCAGGTTCACTCACATGTTTATAGGTTCGTGATGTCTCGTTTACATCAGACTCTCCTCATTATTGTTTTTTGTGTTTTCCCGGTCAATATTGCCTTTGTACGTGTAGGCTAGTCCGCTAAAATTGACCATAATCGGTGGCTTCAAAATTCTGATCAGTCACCTGTTTATAAACAGGCGACCGATCAGAGTTTCAGAGGCTGCGATTACGTTTTAGCGGACTATGTATAGGCCTGTTGTACTGATCCTGTGTGGCAGATGTTTACATGTACCCCTGTTGTACTGATCCTGTGTGGCAGATGTTTACATGTCCCCCTGTTGTACTGATCCTGTGTGGCAGATGTTTACATGTACGCCTGTTGTACTGATCCTGTGTGGCAGATGTTTACATGTACCCCTGTTGTAGTTCCCTTTACTTTTCTTCGTCATTTTATGGTCTTAGAGATGACCTACATAGGATCCTGACAAATCCCAGGCAGTTTTATATTTCTTTTGTCATTTTAGTGTTGTCTGCAGTATATTAACAAGGCAATGAGTTGGTGTTTCCTCATTGCCTGTATACAGGTTTCAGATATCCTGCTTACATACGATTTTGTTACCATGCCTTTGTTCCTTTGACCGACGTTCTTCTACAGTTTTTCATTTGTGGACTTTTTGTTTATGTTTATAGACCAATCCTGAAACCCCATCGGGTGAATGTTCTACCTCTTCTTCCTCAGGTCGTCTTCTTTTGTTACAGTTTTCCAAGCTTCAGGTGCAATGGGTGCTGGGAGGCGATATTAAAACATTACAAAATCTGTAACCAATGACCTGATCACGCCGTCTTCCACACGGATTCCATGAGCGTGAATGCATTTTCTAATCTTTCAATAGTGTTGAATTGTATGTGTATTGTTCGTTCTTTCTGTAACTCTTCATTTTTGGAGGAAATAAAGGAAATAATAATGGTTTTAGATTAATGTTCTGCTGCGAGTTTCCTGGATAATTATAAGTAGATGGAATCACTGATTTCCAGTTGGACAAGATTTTATGTCAACATCTCCACTGACAGCTATATAACTTTCGTATGTTATAGCAGTCTTTTCAAGATGATACACCAACATATCAACAACTAAAGTCAAAACTCGACTTTTTATGTTTTTATGTACATATCTTTGATAAAAACAAAGTAATTCATGATCAACACATGAACATGCTTATCCATATGACATCAGAAATCATCATGGATCAACTCGTTTCTGGTTTTAATACAATAGTGCTGCATTCATATACAAAACAATACATGCAAACTAACATCAAACTGTCAAAAAGCCTATAAATATACATGTAGCTTCCAAACTACCACTGCCAGAGGGAAACCATCCTATCATACCACTGCCAGAGGGAAACCATCCTATCATACCACTGCCAGAGGGAAACAATCCTATCATACCACTGCCAGAGGGAAACAATCCTACCATACCACTGCCAGAGGGAAAAAATCCTATCATACCACTGCCAGAGGGAAACCATCCTATCATACCACTGACAGAGGGAAATAATCCTATCATACCACTGCCAGAGGGAAATAATCCTATCATACCACTGCCAGAGGGAAACAATCCTATCAAACATAAAGGAACATTAAATATTGATTTTAAAGCTTTGCTGAAAGTCAACCCTTAAACAAAATGTGTATATTATCTCTTTACACAAAAAAGAAGGTTTTGATAAACAAATGAATAATAAAAATGTAAGAATAAATGAAATATAAATTTTGACAACTTTCAAAATATAGTGCTGTAATGAAAAAAATAAAAAATAATATAAAGAGCCGTTATTAACAAACCAACTTCCTGTTTAAATATGGTATATGGCCTCCAGGATATGTACATAATCTAATTGCAGACTGATGAACAGCCATTATGCCCAACGATACCTTGGTAATAAAATATCCTACCACAGGCAGAGTATGACATCAAATTTCAATTAAATCAATACATCTAGTAGTTGTGTGTTGATCCTTAACCAGAGGCCTAATAGGCCTGTATCATTGGAAAATGTTCTCAATAACAGTTATTTTGCAAATACATGTATTTCCAAATATAGTCTCCTGGGCTGATTTTAATAAGTAATTTCCAAACAAGGCAGAGTATTGCAAGGCAATTCATAGTCCCCAACCGGTAATGATTTCTATATTTACCAAACAGTAGACTTATGTCAGGAAGCATAGGTCACAGTGACCTACTTTTTGCACCCGCCATCCCAAGATGTCCTTGTACACCAAATCTCGTTACTCCAGGTGAAATACTATAGAAGATGCATATGCCCCGAACAAACAGTTTCAAAAGTGAAGGTCAAAGGTCAAGTCATAGGTCAGTGACCTAAGTATTGCACTCTGCACTCCATCATCCCAGGATGTACTTGTATACCAAAACTGGTTCCTCCAGGTGAAATAGTATAGAAGATATGCCCCGAACAAACAGTTTCAAAAGTGAAGGTCAAAGGTCAAGTCATAGGTCACGGTAACCTAAGTATTGAACACTAAACTCTGTCATCCCAACATGTCTTTGTACACCAAATCTGGTTACTCCAGGTGAAATAGCACAAAAGATATGCTCTGAACAAACTTTTTAAAGACTAAAGATCAAAGGTCAAGTCAAAGGTCACAATGACGTTCCTCTTACACTCTGCACTCGCCATCCCAAGATGACCTTTTACACCAAATCTGGATACTCCAGGTGAATTAGTATAGAAGATATGTCTCGGACAAACTTCTGCCTGAAAGACGGACGGAAGGATGGACGGACGGCGCAAACCTCTAGTTCCCCCCGGAACCATTGAGGGACTAGTAAGAACCCCTGAATGGACGTTCCAAAACATTTGCCATACTACATTGTATTAACTTCAAAAAATAGATACTGATATACGCTACCTTACGGTACACCCATACCCTGTTTTGTCTTGTAGTTTTAACTTCAATTCTATATTGTCTCTTTAGAAGGAATGTTGATATGAACACTGGTAGATTTCCTCGTACACCCAATTGTGAACATCTTTCATTCTACCATGTTTGCATGTGATATCGTATACCTTGGTCATCAGGTCCTACCAGCTCCTTAGAGCATGTGATATCGTATACCTTGGTTATCAGGTCCTACCAGCTCCTTAGAGCAAGTGATATCGTATACCTTGGTCATAAGGTCCTACTAGCTCCTTAGAGCATGTGATATCGTATACCTTGGCCATAAGGTCCTACAAGCTCCTTAGAGCATGTGATATCGTATACCTTGGTCATCAGGTCCTACCAGCTCCTTAGAGCATGTGATATGGTATACCTTGGTCATAAGGTCCTACCAGCTCCTTAGAGCATAAGACAAACACCATCATGTTACAAGAGCTTGGGAAGGACTTCACCCCTGGTGAATTATATACATGTACCATATAACTTTTAGATAAGAATATCCTCTCCTGATTGCTTCCATACAAATGTATTAGGTGAAGGATACAGGCTACAACTCTGGGTTTTATAAATAAGAGGCCCAGAAGGCCTGTATCGCTCACCTGAATATGTTTAAAATAATTGGTATGAAGTAAAGATATAGCACTCCATGGTAGGTGCTACAAGATACAAGATACAAGAATTTTTATTTATAGTCGTGTTTGTAACAATGCAACTTTAGCTCAGAAGAGCTATTCTTACGTCTATAAGTACATATGAAATTTCAGAAAGATCCATCCAGTACTTGAGATATAGCGAGAACAAACTTCAAACAGAGCCCCACCCCTATGTCCCTAGGGGGGTCATATATACCCACCATTTATACAAAATTGAATCCCCTTGACCCAATTGCAAGGATGCTCCAGACTAAATTAGGATAAAATCCCTTAATCCTGATGGTCGAAGAAGGTTTTAAAGGTTTTACCTCTATTTCTCCTATTGGACCCTGCCCTTGTCCCCTGGGAGACCACACCCACTGCTTATACAAAATTAAGTCCCCTTGGCCCAAGGATGCTCCAGACTAAATTAGGATAAAAGCACTTAATACCTATGGTAGATGAAGGATTTTAAAGGTTTTACCTCTATTTCCCCTATTTAGCCTGCCCCTCTGGTCCCAGGGGGGCCACACCCACTGTTTATACAAAATTGGTTCCCCTTTTCCCAAGGATGCTCCACACCAAAATATGGACCAAATACTTTCATTCCTACAGAAGAAGAAGGATTTTAAAGAATAATTTGCTATGTTTCCCCTAGTCGGCCCCGCCCCTCAGGCCCCTGGGAAGCCAGACCCACAGTTTATACAAAATTCTTGGGTTTATCTTCACCCAAGGATGCTTCAGACAAAATATGGAACAAATCCTTTCATTCCTACAGAAGAAGAAGGATTTTAAAGAATTTGTTATATTTCCCCTATTGGGCCCCGCCCCTCAGCCCTCAGGGGGGCCAGACCCACCTTTTATACAAAATTGGTTCCCCTTTTCCCAAGGATGCTTCTGACCAAATATGGAACAAATCCTTTCATTCTTACAGAAGAAGAAGTATTTTAAAGAATTTGCTATATTTCCCCTCATGGACCCCGTCCCTCAGCCCCCAGGGGGGCCAGACCCACCTTTTATAAAAAAATTGTTCCCCTTCTCCCAAGGATGCTTCTGACCAAATTTGGTCAATATCTGCTCAGTCGTTCATGACTAGTAGCGTTTTAAAGGAAAAGTTGATCGACGACGCTGCGGTATATGGCATTAAGCTCAACATGGTCCTTCGGACCAGGTGAGCTAAAAATATTGGAAAGTATACGTACAGAAAACAGAAAAATCACAATAATTGGAAAAGTTACAATTATAGTGTAATTAATTTTCAAGAGCAGTCTGTTTTTGGTTAATGATAAAGTTTGAAACAGTCATATATTGCACATTTGTATGTGTATTTACACTTCAAAATTCATTTTATTTAGCACGGTACCGAACTGATATCATGATATTTCAGATTGAGGTATTTCATAAACTAGGAGCATGTTCAATGCAGTAATTCAAATTTGCTCATGGAATTGACATTCAATGTTTTCACTCTCGATTATTTAACTTTCATGTCAGTTTACAAAAGAGTCAAAAGGTCAGAGGTATATATTTGGTTGAGTATTATTATTTGGCACTTCCACTGGTATAGGTATCTCCTCAAAATGTCAAATTCCTCAGGCATCACCATCAAGATCTGTCACCTTCTCTTGATGTCTTTCCAACAACAAATCTTCCATGATACTTAAACCCTGTAACACAGAGTAATGATACTTAGACCCTGTAACACAGAGTAATGATACTCGGACCCTGTAACACAGAGTAATGATACTCAGACCCTGTAACACAGAGTAATGATACTTAGACCCTGTAACACAGAGTACTGATACTTAGACCCTGTGACACAGTGTAATGATACTTAGACCCTTTAACACAGAGTTATGATCCTTAGAGCCTGTAACACAGAGTAGTGATACTTAGACCCTGTAGCACAGAGTAATGATACTCTGACCCTGTAACACAGAGTAGTGATACTTAGACCCTGTAGCACAGAGTAATGATACTAAGACCCTGTAACACAAGAGTAATGATACTTAGGCCCTGTAACACAAAGTACTGATACTTAGACCCTGTTACACAGAGTAATGATACTAAGACCCTGTAACACAAGAGTAATGATACTTAGGCCCTGTAACACAAAGTATCATTACTCTGTGCTACAGGGTCTAAGTATCATAACTCTGTGTTACAGGGTGAGTATGATTACTCTGTGTTACAGGCTCTAAGGATCATAACTCTGTGTTACAGGGTGAGTGTCATTACTCTGTGTTACATGGTCTAAGTATCATTACACCGGGTTACAGGGTCTAAGTATAAGTACTCTGTGTTACAGAGTAATGATACTCGGACACTGTAACACAGAGTAATAATACTTAGACCCTGTAACTCAGAGTAATGATACTTAGAGGCTGTAACACAGAGTAATGATACTCAGACCCTGTAACACAGAGCAATGATACTTAGACCCTGTGACACAGTGTAATGATACTTAGGCCCTGTAACACAAAGTACTGATACTTAGAGCCTGTAACACAGAGTAATGATACTAAGACCCTGTAACACAGAGTAATGATACTTAGACCCTGTAACACAAAGTACTGATACTTAGACCCTGTAACACAGAGTAATGATACTTAGACCCTGTAACACAGAGTACTGATACTTAGAGCCTGTAACACAGAGTAATGATACTTAGACCCTGTAACACAGAGTAATGATACTTAGACCATGTAACATAAACAATTGTTACCCGACCCTCTCTATAAATACATGTACATTTTATGAAACAATTTGGTTGAAAAACGTTGAGCAGTAAACCAAGCTCAGCAGATGACCATCATGTCAAAGTTTGAAGAATGATGTGAGTAATGTCAGAGAGCTCTACTTTTTATTATCAGGTAATAAAACAGTAGTTTCATACCTTATCAGTCAAATTTTACAACGATATCCCAGAAGGGTCGGGACCAACAGTAATAAAACTGTTTTTAAGGCCATGTCTGTTGATTGATAAGGCATAAAAACCAGTATAATGATACGTGTTCCTGTAGCATTTTGTAGTGCAA